TACCTTCTAACGCGTGCTATGTTCCTAATATGGTAAAAAGCAGACTGGCAAACTGCAGTAAATGAAGAAAAAGCGTATGGAGCACTCGTTTGGAGCACGCTGGTGACGTCAATTAAATCATCTTTAATACTTTCTTGTGAATGAAAACGTTTAAGAATACACTTAGGAACTGCTTCTCTTGCATGAATTTTTCGGAAAAAGTTTTAAAAATGAAGTTTAAAATACAAATATTGAGCTGTTTTTGCTCCGAACACGAGACTTGATAGATTTCAAATTTAGCTCGAAAAGTATCCTGCTCGCATCTTAGGAGAATCTGTAATTTGAACAAAGCGAAATAAACAGTTTTTATAGTCAGGTAAAGTTGTTCTTTATGTTATAAAAGCAATGGTCAATGCTATATCAGTCGTAAATCTATTAATGGTGCACTCGGATAGCTGGGAGAGCACTCTGGTAGCTAGAGCTAGACGGCTCGGCTCCGCCTCGTGCAACTCTAGCTACCAGAGTGTCTCCCAACTATCCAATTGCACCATTAATAATTTACGCACGCTGAGCATTGATCATTGCTTAATAAAAAAAGTGCAATAGCCCACCACTGTGCTCTCGTTCTTTTACATTTACGTGCAATGCAGCTGTGTAAGGCAGGACTCTGGTAACATCGTCACTGATACTTGCGAGGTAGACGTTTGTATCTTCGACCGTGACGTTCATTAGAGTAAACCATGCACGACCTGTCTTGAGGTCACCGTCAAATTTTAGCCGTTTAACGAGATCTGGTTTCAAACCTGAGTTGAGGTTCACCTTACTGCTCGTTACGTCTACATTTATAAACTGAGGATCAGCAATGTTGCCTTTTTGTATTCCCCATGTTGCTGACAGAAGTGTTGAATTGCTGGCGGTATTCCATCTGAACTGTGCGTTCTCACCTACGAAGTAGTTAAGCTTGGTAGGTCCAGTAATTTGACACGTTACTGAAAGCAAACAATGATAAAAACGTGCGTAATAAGTAAATTACGAGCCTTAGATRAAACGACCGAAGAAGAGTGCCATACAAGCCTTTCACAACTTCAAGTCGCGTAAAAAATGAGCCAGCTCAACTAGAAACTGTGGACAGCTGTTTCGGCCTGTATTGGGCCTCGTCAGCACAGTGTATCTAGTGAGCTGGCAATCCCACGAAAAAGTAGTACTAGATAGATGTGGCAGTGCGCCGTGTCAGAGCCCATCCCACACGGCGCACTGCCACATCTATCTAATGATAAAAACGGAGTATTTTTGAATTTATTAAATGGTGCTTGATAGGTTGCTATGGCTTCATGCTAATAATAATCCTCTTCTACTCCGGTTCGTTATACAAATAATTTGAAAGAAGAAATTAAAATAAGAATAAATTAAAGTGATACAAAAACGATACTGATACCTATGTAATTYTTGTATTAAATGTTATAAATGAAAGGAGAATTTGTGACTGTGTTCTAATCACTGCGTGACACAAGGCTTTAAAGTTGCAAATCATAGGCATTTTTTTTTCATTTATTTATTGTCAAGGAAGCGAGTAAGAAAGTGAAACATATAATAAGATAAGCAGATTTTATCGAAACAGCCCAAACCAATACTTCGATAAACAGTGATATTTAATTTCTTGACGTGTTGCTCTTGATATGAGTGTCAGATAGTACGTTATTATTTTGGCGCCTGAAGAAAGTAGTCAACTTTAAGATTTTATATTAAACCACTGTTGAATATAAAGCCCTACCACTGAATTGGAAGTATACACATTATTTGAGGGCTATATAATTCCCTAGCTTCCAGTATGTTCTGATGAAACCATCTATTGGATGTTCCCGCCAAAAAGCCCTTTTTGACATAATTTCAAGATGAAAGACCTTAAGAAGCTTCGAAAGAAGCGGTAAAAAGCATGTTTATATTCTTTATATTATCCTGCTAGTGGTTGACAAATTAGTCAAACAAATGTTGGCGAGTGGTTTCGCTTATAAATTACGTGTAAATTAATCCAAGAAAAGTGTTTATGGACTGCAATTGGCGAATGGCAATATAGGGCAATATACATTGCATGGTATCCTAGCGTGGGTGTTAGTTTTGAATAAGACTCTCTTTGAGGTAATGAATATTTGAATTCGATTATCGGTGCTGCATAATGGTAAGAAAAACAATTGTCCAACTTTAAGGCTGGTTTTCAACTGCATCGAAATCCAAATTGAAGTCGGAATGAAAAGTCCGCAGCGTTTTACACACAAGCCAAGAAAATGTAAACATTATCCAATCTTTACGATTACGATTCCTACGCTTCTGACTCCGTTAGTCCGTTAGTCTTATTTTCACTTTGTATATAAGATGCGTTCAATTCCAATTCTTACTCCGATTCTGATTCCGTCGGTAGTAAATCGAAAATCGACCCTTAAGAATACGTTGCAGCTTTTGTTTACTTGCATTAGCTTCAAATTAAGGCTTGGCTGTTGAGGGGAAGTAATATATTTTTTGCTGTTCTCGATTATCTGCAAAATACTACTACGACAACTACACTATCTGTGCTTCTCGATTACTTTACGGGTTCCATACCTGGTCTGCAAAGAAAGATTATAAAAACATACGATTTTCGAACTGCTGCAGCCATAACGAAGATGTCCTTCTTTATCAATTTCTTGGAGTTTTAGGTCAGTATTGATGTGTAGTTTAAGTGGAGAAGGGGGGATGGGACAGGTTGCGGATAGAGGGTTATTAATATTAAACAAAAGTTACTTGAATCGTAATTATTAATTCGGTTTAATAGGGATAAAAGGTTTTAGAGCTATGATGATGAACATGGATTTGATTCCTTTCCAATTCGTTCAAAATACTAGAAGCAGCTTAAACAATATCTTGTTGACAGAACCTTGGCAATTAACATTTTCTAAAAATAAACTCAAAATAACAACCCCAAGGTCATTTCTCCTGGAACAACATCTGAGACATGAATTAATCTAAACTTCTACGAAAAAGAATTGCCAAAGCTTAAATACGTTTTCGAATTACAATTGTGTGTAAGAAAGTAACTTTATATATTTTAATATATATATATTTTTAACTTATGAAGAGCGAAGGTTGTTTTGACTGGTATAAGCGGGTTCTCGGAAATTATGTCTATTGGTTTAAAACCAGGAATCGGAAACCGGAATACGGATTCCGGGAATCGAAACAAAATAGATACACGTACTATTAAAACTAAGCGGTCTGCCCCAACTACTCTGCCCTAAGCGGTCTCTATTGATACTACAGAGTATTGGAATTAACCGAAGAGGCGAAAGTCTACCCCATCTTGCAGCTCATGTTAAAATTTTATGTTGGTGTAGTTAGAGAAATGATAACATGTATAAGGCATAACTTCTCGTATTTCATTTATTATTGTTGAGTGTTTCTCTGGGGTTTTGGAGCTTTAAAGCGAGTAATTTATGTTGGACCGTTGTGACGATGACATGAGTAACACATAATGAAACCGATAACATATGGCTCAGCCGATATCGATAAATAGAACTTTTAAAAACGTATCGATCGTCAAAACCCTGCCAAATGCAATTTTATGCAATGCAATGCAATTTAGAAGAGTTTTCCATTTTTTTAGAAAGAGCGAAGTTCTTACGAGCAGTTAAGGCTAAGTTACATTTGCGAGGCTTCGCTTTCTCTTAGGCATCAGTATGACACTTGAATGTATCGCGGCTCTGAAATGCAACAAAACTGCTTCTTTCTGCTCTAGTTAGTTTTAAGATATATCTAGACTGTGCAACCAAAACAGATCACGACATATGTTACGCACGAGTTGCAAGGAAACACGTAGGACCCAGTGAATTGTTGCCAAATGTGTTTTAATAACACCAAAACTAAGGTTAGATACAAATATACGAATAAACTAGACAAAATCTAACTACACTAACTTGACCCTAAATATTACAAATAGTTCAATAGCTTGCCTCCAGAGCTTTCTTTGTTCTTGACCCTTGTTCTTCTTTCTCTTCTTCTTCTTGTTCTATAGAGCTCTCTTGACCAGCTACCAAAACTGTAGACAATATACTAAATGAAGGCTTGTACTTAACTAAGACTAAGACTCACAGCTCTGGCTGTATTCCTTATATACCTAACGTATTTCTAAATATAGATATTACAATATTTCTAAATATAATTATTACATCATTCCAGAATGTTCTTTGTAAATGTATTGAATAACAATGACTAAGCATTGAACCTTCTAGAGGCTTCTAGACGTTTTCTGTAACATAACTCAAGTAGTTTCTAAATATAATTGTTACATCGTTCCAGAATGTTCTTGAATGTTCTACTGAGTTCTAATTAACAACTAATACAATAATATGGGCTGGTTGGCCCTCATAACACATAGAACATAAGGTTTTCATTGGATAGTGTATGTAAAATGTTTATTTTCTTGGCCTGGGTTTTTATCAGATCCGTATGTTTATTCCGAGTTTCCTAATCCGGATTTCGATTTTCAGGATTCTGTTGATTTCAAGGTCTAAAATATAAACAAAATAATTCACTACCAATATTTTAGAGCAATAAATTGTCTATCCATACATTTTCATAAATGGAGAGGTTATACAGTGAAATAAACAGGTTTCTTTTACTTGCGTGTTTTTCCTGGTAGACATACTGTCTTTCTTGAAATTAGTTCGTGACATATGGAATATTCCAATTGTAAACAAGGTATAAAATTTCAGTGGGCGCCACGTAGTGAAAACAGGAAATGCTTCATAAAAGGATTTTAATGAATTAGAGAGCTTGAAAAACAATAGACCTTATTCGTCGTGTTACAATGTTTTCCCAATTCAGCGTGACGAACCTCCAGGGGATTCATTTTCTTTTGTTTTTACTCTTCGAAAAATTCATGATATCCCAAAGGATGCGAAAGGAATAACGATGATATCCCGACGAGCTTAAAAACAATAGCTCTTCATTCCCCCAGAGGTTTGTCACGCTGAATTGGGAAAACATTGTCACACCACGAATAAGGTCTATTGTTTAATCAACCAGTCAACCGATCAACCGCCCCCAGACAAGAAAAATAGTTGACAAACAGCATAAATTTAGTTGCCATAAAGCTACTTTGTGAATTCCTGAAGGAGAGAAAATTCAGTTATCCACAAGTCTAGTCAAGATAACAGATCAAGATAACATATTCCTTAGTTTCTTTGTTCGCTAGTTCGGTTGATAGGCTGCTCGTTTGGTGGGTTGGTGGGTTGGAGGGTTGGTGGGTTGGTGGGTTAGAAAGAAGATCAGCATGTTCATCTTATAAAATATCTGGAAGACTCTCATATATTGGTTCAGGATTGCTGGCAGATTCTTGATTTTGCAAATTTGTAAGTTCTGCATATTCCGTAGAGTTGTATGGAGGAGGAAGAATTACGCTTGGTGTTGCTGCACTTGCTTTGAGGTCTTCAAGTTCAGCATAAATTATCTGGCCAAGGCGCTAGCAATAATATAAAAGAAAATTTAGACATTCTGTCATAACACCATTTCTTCCATACTCGCCTTCCTAGTTATTCTCCCTTTCCTTTTTCTCCACATTTTTACTTCACTACTTTCGAGTTAAGGGAGGCAGGTAGGAAGGCAGGCAGGCAGGCAGGCAAGCCCTAAATAAATAGAATATACCTCACTTCCACTGCTACTAACCGACACTCTGGGGACCTAGAGATATCATTTATAATATTATAATAAAGAAAACAAAYGAATGCTGCCATTGTACCTACCTTTTTCTTACTCATGTCTACCTGGGCATATATAGGCATGTTATAATTTTGTCTGTCGGTCCTTTTCTTTGACTTATCGATTTGGGCGTATATTGGAATGCTTTTGACTTCGGCATAGGTTACGGTATTTGATGCCTCGGGAAGAACACAAAGGAGACGCGTATTGCTGAACAAAATAAAAAGCATTATGATAATCAACTAGATACGAGGTTAGTTTTTTTATTATTATCATTATCAGTTATTAAATATAAGGTATAGATATTGGAACCAAATGTCTTTGCTACAGTCGAACGACCAACTCTGTAATTGTTTATATTAAATACCCTTTTGATGTTGACTATAGTAGACATCTTATAACTCAGATTTCGTACTAGCCAACAAGCTTATTAAACTTTTTCATTATATATTATTCAAATTAGATATTTTCCCTAAATAGAACAAAAGGACATCCTATGGTATGAAACTGAGTTAGCATTTCTTAGGACTGTCAATTCGTGGTTCCGATTCAAATAAAGAGTTTTACAAGGAATACAAGACACTTTTATTTTATTTTCAGAAGACAGTAAACGAATGAACAATTTCTGATGAATTTCCTTGATCAAAATTTCAAATCATGATATATGTATCTGGGAATGGGACATAGCAACGGTATATAACTAAAGAGAGTGGAACAATTAATCTAATATTATAGAGGTCATAGACATTTCCAGATGTGAAAATTAAAAGGAATGCAAAGCCATGGTCACTACTTCACGTGACTATCTTTTTGAATAATTTGCTTGTAATCAGGGAAATTATTTCCTAGTCAAACTCAATTTGAATATGGAAATTGTGCTCATGGGAAATGTTAATGAGTATTCTCACGGGCAGGACGCGAATATAAAGGATAGGGTGTGAGATATTACGACACTCTTCATCAACCACCAACCGAAGTTGGTTAGTGACCCACCCTCCCACCCTCAGGCAAGCCGGGTTGAGTACAACACTAGAGTTACACAAATCGCTCTAAGGTTTGGGTTTGTCCCAGGCCCGAGTGGCTATCCATAACTCATTTAATCACAATACATGAGGCAGAATAATACACTATTTCAGGTTCTCCCAAAACCTGTTTCTTCTCTCTTCTTTATGCTGTGTAATGTAAAGTATCCAAGTCGCTTGCAATAGTTTGCCTCTCTGATATTCAATATCAAATTTCATTAGATAGTTAGCCTTAGTCAACTTATCTAATGCAATAAGAATCAGATTCGCGAGGTGAATAATTAAATAATTTGACTTTTATAGACTATGCACTTACTTGTCTTCACCGACATCTGTCTTATTTTCTACAAAAAAGTTTGTGATAAATTTTTAATGTTGTATTTTCAAGGGAAAAAAATACAAATTTGAATTTTTTAAAACTACATAATGTCTTTCTGAAAATAAACTAACCTTTGTTAATTCTTTTCTTACAACGTTTCCTGAGTACGATTATCACAATTACTGTGATAGCGATGGGTAATAGCACACCAAGAACACACAGTAAGACATCGTTCTTTAGATTTTTCTTGTAGTTTACATATTCTTGACCACTCTTTTCTGCTGTCGCGATAAGAAAAGGCAAAGTACAAAAATCAGATTTATTTTGGAATAAATTATGTACACCTCTATTATTGTTTCTTCATTTTCCGTGCTTCCTTCCTTTCTGTTTGTATTGGTCTGGACCGGGATAATAATGATGATAATGGTAGTAGTAATAGTAGTAGTAGTAGTAGTAGTAGTAGTAGTAGTAGTAGTAGTAGTAGTAGTAGTAGTAGTAGTAGTAGTAGTAGTAGTAGTAGTAGTAGTAGTA